CACATGCATGCGCACAGATATCTGCCTTCCCCCCTTGCTCTCCCAATGGCCTTGAGACCCCATGGACCTGACCTTGGGTGGGTGGCCCATTAATTAAAGACTGTTTCTGGGGCAGCTCCATCCATGTGTCCCGGAAGGGCTGGCACATGCTGCTGAACCTGTGCTTCCACATGGCCATGACCTCCGCCGTCTTTGCCGGAGGCATCACACTCACCAACTACCACATGATCTGCCAGGCAGTAAGCAGAAGGGGCTGGAGTGGGGGTGGGGGGCGGTCCAAGATGAGTGGTGGCAGCCTAGGCACAGAGTCAGGAGGTGCAGGGGAAAAAAAGAGGGCTCATGCTAATAGGCTGTAGCTCCGCTGTTGTGTCCAGCCTTGCTTTCGTGGGGGCCATGGGAGTCGGGGTGGTAAGAAGTAGAGAAACTACGAGATGGGTCTTCAAAGTGGAAACTGGGGATCTGCAATGGAGGAGAGGTCAGGGACAAGGCGGACAGCAACGGCAGGGTTGTGAAAAGTCCCCCGAGTGGGAGAGAAGCATGGGCTGGAAGGAGAGAGGGTGACAGCAGGGACAGAACCTTGAGGAGGCTCAGGGTAGAGCTGGGGGTGGGAGAGTGGGAGGAGTGGGAGAGTAATACCGTGGACTGGGGCTCTGGGGTGGCTCCGGTACTAGCAGCCTGGTCCCCCAGCCTCTGTGGCTTGACCCCACAGGTGGGCATCACTCTGCACTACTCTTCGTTGTCCACACTGCTCTGGATGGGTGTGAAGGCCCGAGTCCTCCACAAGGAGCTCACCTGGAGAGCGCCCCCTCCACAAGAAGGGGACTCGGCCCCGCCCGCGCCCCGCCCCATGCTCCGGTACTGGCCTCCAACTGTCAGCTTTGCAAGGGTGAAGGGCTCCGAGGGGGGTGAAGGACACCACCACCTGTTCTCCCAGGGTGGAGGTGGGGCGGGTCCAAAGTCCTGGGTGAGCACTCTCCAAAGAGAGAAGAGGCAAAGCCCTAGGTGGCGCCAAGTTGCCCAAGGCCATGGAGTGGGTGCACCCTTAGGGGTCTTCAGGGCTGACAAGGCCAGGGAAGGAAGTGACTCCAAAGGGCATTGGGTAGGGATCCTGGCAACCCGAGTGGCACCCCGACTTCTGCACTGTTTCAGGTGAGAGAACAATTCTGTCCTCTGTCCCTTAGAACAGTCATGGCCAAGTCCCCTAGGAACTTACTGAGCCTGCAAAAAAAAATCTGAGAGAATTTAAAGGGGAAAGAGGATGGGACAGAGTCCCTGAGTCAAGGTTTCTGAGCATCTGTTTGCAACCCACTTGGTTCCCCACATCTCTGACCCCAAACCCCATTCCCCTCCAGGTTCTATCTGATCGCCGGAGGGATCCCACTCATTATCTGTGGTATCACAGCCGCGGTCAGCATCCACAACTACCGGGACCACAGCCCCTAGTGAGCGCCGCCGCCTGCCTGCCCCACACCACACCTACCCGCCCCTACGCTGGATGCCTTCTACTTCAGTGGCAGGGGCACCTGCAGGCCCACCCGGCCAGTGACCCAACCCAAACCCACGCATGTTGCCTAAGCCAGTCTCTGCCTTGCCACTCACCCTGTCCTATCTCCCCAACCACCCAGCCACCTCAGACATGCTCCCCGTCCTCACCCACTGCATGTGTCTCCCCTCAGCTGCTGGCTGGTGTGGCGTCCAAGCCTCGGAGCCTTCTACATCCCGGTGGCCTTGATTCTGCTGATCACCTGGATCTATTTCCTGTGTGCAGGGCTGCGCTTAAGGGGTCCTCTGGCACAGAGCCCGAAGGGGGGCACCAGCAGGGTCTCCCTGGAGGCAGGGGAGGAGCTGAGGGGTTCCACCAGGCTCAGGAGCAGCGGCCCCCTCCTGAATGACTCAGGTTCCCTTCTGGCTACTGGGAGCGCTGGGGTGGTGACACCAGGGCCCCTGGAGGATGGTGACGGCCTCTATTCTCCGGGAGTCCAACTGGGGGCGCTGGTGACCACGCATTTCCTGTACCTGGCCATGTGGGCCTGTGGGGCTCTGGCCGTGTCGCAGCGCTGGCTGCCCCGGGTGGTGTGCAGCTGCCTATATGGGGCGGCGGCCTCCGCCCTAGGACTCTTCGTCTTCACCCACCACTGCGCCCGGCGCCGGGACGTTAGGGCCTCCTGGCGTGCCTGCTGCCCCCGGGCCTCGGCCTCCCGCGCCTCACCCCGGGCCGAGCCCGCCGCCCCAGAGGACGGTTCCCCCGTATTCGGAGAGGGCGCCCCCTCCCTCAAGTCCTCCCCGAGCGGCGGCAGCAGCAGCCACGCGCCGCCCCTGGGCCCCTGCAAGCTCACCAACCTGCAGCTGGCCCAGAGTCAGGTGTGCGAGGCGGGGGCCCGCGGGGAAGGGGAGCCGGAGCCCGCGGGCTCCCGGGGCAGCCTCGCTCCCCGCCACCCCAACAACGTGCACCACGGGCGCCGCGCACACAAGAGTCGGGCCAAGGGGCACCGCACGGGGGAGGCCGGCGCCAAGAACCGGCTCAAGGCGCTGCGCGGGGGCGCGGCGGCCGGGACGCCGGAGCTGCTGTCCAGCGAGAGCGGCAGCCTGCACAACAGCCCGTCCGACAGCTACCCGGGCAGCAGCCGCAACAGCCCGGGCCTGCAGCTCGAGGGCGAGCCCATGCTCACGCCGTCGGAGGGCAGCGACACGAGCGCCGCGCCGCCCCCCGAAGCCGGCCGGCCGGGCCAGCGCCGCAGCGCCAGTCGCGACAACCTCAAGGGCGGCGGGGTCGGCGCGCCCGAGCGGGACAGCAAGCGGCGCTCGTACCCGCTCAACGCCGCCAGTCTCAACGGCGCGCCCAAGGGGGCCAAGTACGATGACCTCGGCGGGGCGGCCGCAGGCGCCTGCATGAAGACGGGCCTCTGGAAGAGCGAGACCACCGTCTAGGGCGGGGGTGGGCGACCCTGTGGGACACACCGGCTTCCCCGGGGCCCTCAGAGACGTCCACCGGTGCGTCAGCAGGTTTGAGGGAGACACACCAGCGTTAGCCCCGGAGGCTGGGGAAAAGGACAGGCGGAAGGCCTGCCACCGCCCTGAGCGCCGTCCCTCCGGGGTAGCGACGATCCCAGGACCCCGAGCGGGATACATTTCCGTCCCAGCCCAGGCTAGTTTGGGCAGTCGACTCGGTGCCGTCCCGGGTAGTGGGGGAATGTGCTGTCGGCCCCCAGGTGGACCCCTCCCTAGGTACTCCCCACATCTCACCAACCCTGCCTCGCTGGTGGCCGTCCGCCGCATCAGGAAAACACAGATGACGGGAGCTTGAGAACCGTGTTCTCTCCTCACTGCCCTCCTCTGCGGTCAGCCATCTGCGCCTAGATCCTAGGGCCTCTCCCCCACCCAGCTTTCAGCCAACTAGGCGGCCAGGTTAGCAGATGAGCCAGGTGGCCAGGACCCACAGGTGCTGCTTTTAAGATAAACTATGCAAGAGAAGGTGGAACAGTGTGCAAGGCAGCCGTGGAGATGGCCTTCTAGGGAAAGGGTGCACAATCGGGGACAGACACGTCCCACAGGAGTGGTGCACAAACCATACAGCAGGGCTTTAGAGGTGGTGCCTCAGGACAAAGCCAAGGCCCTGCGCCTAAGAAGCTGCCTCTGCCAGATACCCAGGAAAGATCTGAGGCAAGCAGAGAGTAGTGCTTAGATTTGGAGTTGAACACAGTCCTGCCCTAAACCTGGCCCTATAAACAGTGCTCTGAAGAGAGCCACCACAAGGCCACAGGCGGGGCTGAGAAGCACTTACTGTTCAATGACAAGACCCATATCCCCAGTCTGCGTCTGCCAACACCGAGGCACTGGGGAAGAGCACTTCCCTGCCTCCGTGAGGCCATATGCAAGAACCATTCCAAGAATTTGATCTCTAGCTCCATATTAGGGAGAAACCTCCCCAACATCAAACCAGCTTCCTGCCTCACAGAAGCCCAAGCTGAATCCCCCCAGGGCAGCAGGTAGGGTCCCTGCGGCTCACGTGGGGCCTGTGCCTTCACTACTTTTAAACACCAGCACCCATATTTCCCCCAACCTAAAAACAACCACCAGCCTTTTACTACAGGACCCAATGAAAAGTGGAGGGAAAGCTGAGCCCGGGGAAGAAGAACAGGAAAACCAGACCTGCTCCAGGTCCCTCTCAGTGTCCATATTCCCGCAGTCTGATCACCAAGGCAAAAGACAAGAGGGAGGGGAGAAAACCGACACACCTTGGGATGAATCCTGTTATTTATGCTTGCTGCACAGACAATATTAGACCAAAAAAAAAAAAAAAAAAAAAAAAGCTTCGTATTATTCTTCCACGTATGCTGGCTGTTTACATACCCTGCCAATGCCTTAGCACTGGAGAGCTTTTTGCAATACGCTGGGGAAAAGGGAGGGAGGGGATGAAAAGTGCTAAAGAAAACATGTTTTTAAAAGCTCGGGTTTTATACAATAGAATGTTTTCTAGCAGATGCCTCTTGTTTTAATATATTAAAATTTTGCAAAGCCCTTTGAGCTATATAACTTTAGTCCACCCACGGTCCTTTTGTTATGAGGTAGAGGGTTTTGTGACCCCTGCACATGAGAACCCAGCCACGCCTGCAGATGGACGCAGGACCAAGAGGTGCCCAGTCCCCGTCCTCTGAGGGCTGATAGCATTCGCAACGCCAACCGCTCCACACCAGCACGGAGGGCCCATCAGGCCTGCAGCAGCAGTGTATCCAAGCCAAACCAGGAGAAAGCCTGACATTCTCCGGCCAGGCTAGGAGGAAAGCCATCCCTCAAAACATGAATGTGTGCACCTTCCTCTCTGGGACCATCCCTCTCAGGGATGAGATTCTCTCCAACCCAGTTGTCCCTGCATTGCTCCTGACTTCTACTCCAGGACCCAGGGTCCAATTAACTGCAGAGTCCCTTGGTTCCTTTAAACAAGGAAAACAAACAAACAAAACCTGCCTCAGGACTCACATACACTTATTTCTCCAGATAGGACAGGCCTATGATCAAACTGCTGTCCAAATGGTGGGAGTGCTCCCTCGGATGCACATCAGGGAGGGTTAGAAACCCCCGTGGCAGCCTGTCTTGCAGCTTGAGCTTTCTGAAAGTCCCTAACTTCCTGAGGGGTACGCAAATACTGCTCTATTTCACTGTCAGAAATATCCTCGTCTCCAGTGGCCGTGGAGATAGGGGGTGGGGGACAGACCCGCTTTGGGGGCTTCAGCATGCAAGGTGGGAGGAGAAGGGCAGGACTGGCTGGCCGCTTGCCCTTGGGCAGATCTAAGGAACTACTCGCCACCTCCTCTTTTCCCTGCCCTGGCCCCTGGCCCCGTCCCTGCTGCTCCTCCTCCCCAGCTTCCGACTCTGCCGGTCCGTCTCGAAAGGCCTTGCGGACCAACGTGTGGCGGTGCTGCAGGAGGTCGCCGATGTGCTTCACCACAGACCGTTTGTCGAGCCTCAGCACCTGCAGCCAGGCCAGCTGCTCAGCCATCCGCAGCAGCACAGCCAGCAGCTCCTGCAGGCGGGAGGAAGCAGGGCAGGGTAGGTCCACATTTGCCAACTTACAAAACCGGGCAAGGGAGCACGTCAGACGCTCTGAAGGCTGCAGCGACTGCCAAGCCAGGAAGGTAGCAGCAGTGATGACAGGCAAGGGATGCCGCCCGGTCACCAGCCACGTCTCATCCGCCAGCTCCACCAACTGCAGTGTGCGCGACACCATCTTCTCTTTGTCTTCCACGTATTTGGCTGGCACGGATGGGGAAGCTTGGAACAGTCTGAAGCTGAAAGAACCAAAATGAGAGTCTGGGCTCTGTGCCTATGGGGGAGGGGGCTGCTCTGCCAAAGTGAGGAAAAGCAGTCTCCTAATGACGGGCAAGCTAGTCTCTCCCCTTGGAACACTCAAGCTCGCTGGGTAGCGAGTTTCTACAGGTGCTGAGAGAAGACAGGTGGAGTGTTCTACTTGTGCGGTGAAGGGCAGGAGAACCCACAAGGAAGCGCACGTTTGTCAGCACCCCCCTCAGCCATTATTCTGAGTGCCTTCCAAATGTTCTCCTTTCATCTCCTCTACACCCCATTATATGCATTTATAGTTAAAAAAAAAAAAGAAAAAAAAAAGGCCCATAGTCATCCAGCTAGAAAGCATCCGAGCAACCCAAAACCAACACCACTTGACACTGACAGCCTTTGCTTTCTATGGTATTTTTCAGAAAAAAAGAAAAGAACACAGCTAACTTAGGAGAAAAAAAAAAAAAAGGCCCAAGCTTCTGCCTCCAGCCCCATCACTGACATCCTCTCACCTGCATTCACAGATGATCCTGCTGAGGCAGAGCTGTTACACACAGCCAAGCAGGCCACGCACAACATGAGAGCTGCAACTCAGCAGCCCCGTGCCAAGGCTAACGCCTACTCTGCCTACATTAGGCTGCAGTAAGGCCAAAGGGATTTGGAAATGGCAGCAGTTTAGAACTGTAAAATGGAATTAACCTTATTAATACTAGACACGAGGGAGGGAGAATATAGATTTTTCTCCCAAATCCCTTTCGAGGGGCTTTGGTGAAAAAGAGCCAGCCACAGGTCAAAGGACACAGGTCTAAGGAGCTAGCCCATCCCAGGGTTTCCCAGCAAGCGGGTACCTGCTGCAGTAAGTCTTCACCAGGTCTGCCAAGCACAGAGATGGCACATCCAGCCCCAGGAGCTTCACTATCTGCATGTAGGTGCCAGAAAACACATCCAGATCTGCATACAACAGGGTGCAGATGGTTCCCATGGTGAGGGGCCAGTTATGCTGCCGGCAGGTGATTAAGACACAGCACCCAACTAACACCTCCTTCTTCTGCAGCCTGGCAGCACGGATTCCAGAGTGCCGGTAGGCCTGCTGGTAGTAGGCAACTGCTGTGTCCTCAAATGTCGATGGCAACTGCAGGACTCGGCAGAGGTCTCTCACTCGGCGGAGACCTAAGAAAGCCCACCACAGGAGTTAAGAGGGGTCGAAGGTGCTACTGTGCAGCTCCTAGCAATTTTTGCTAAACTTGCCTCCAATACCAGATGCACGAATAATGCACCTTTCTACGATGACAAGAGTGACATTTGGTGAGGTCATTCTAAAGACAAATCTGAGGAGAGAGTTAAGTTTAACCCACCATTCTTTGGAGGCTGGCTTGATTCAGAGCCAAGCCAAAGTATGATCTGGGATGCGTGGCTCTACCTCTGACACAGCCCCAACAAACCCAAACTGTATACTGAATTAGAACTTATACTCTCTTAGAACCACCTCCATTCTTTATTTCTATTTACCATTCTCTTCTACTCTACCTTACACAATAATGCTGAAAACAGGAAAAGCAAGAGGATGGGCTGGACCATAAGGAGAATTTTTTTTAAGGTCACCATATCACAAAAGGTTGATTCTCACCTCGTTGCTGGCTGCGACTAACTTGTTCGTTTTCCCCTGTGCTTCGGGAATAAGTTACTTCTGCAAGATAATGGACAAGAAATAGCTTGTTTAGCCTTTATTCACCAGACCCCTGGCCTCCCACCATACAAAACCAGAGAGAAATCATATCATTAGGCTCTGCTCCCTGTCTCACAGAAGGTACCCATTTTTGCACATTAAAAGTCTATCCAGTCTTCTATGTCCACAAGCAGTATCAAATACAGAGATTGAGGAAGGTCAGGAGCGCACTAAAGTGGCTTTGAGTGTTCCAAATTTTCAGCCCTCCCTCCTGCATATCCAATCCAGGCAATTTTCCTGACTGTTGATTTTGAGGGCTGCACTGGCCAGGGACTCAGAAAGCAAAGAAAAAAAGGATATTTTTGCCAATTAGTACTAAAGACTACTTCAGGGGTAATAATTTGTCCGTATTTGTAAAGAATTGACCCACAATCCTTCCATCACACCAGACTAGGTAAATTGAGTGGAACTTTGTTTCTCTTTGTTTCACTTGGTCAACGTTTATTATTCTCTCTCTCTCTCTCTCTCTCTATACACACACACACACACCTGGATGCCAGATACCGCACTAGATGCTAGAAAAACACAGATGAAGGGCAGTCCCTGAGCTCCTGCAGCTCACTCGGTCACTTTTTGCAGTAGTTTAGCGTACACGTGACGAGAGGGCGCGAGAGGAATCAGAGGACTCTGACGTCAATCCCTCACCACCACCACCAACCCCCCCAGGCTATACGCACGGCCCTGGAAAGGCCGGCACAGATACCTCGGAGGTTGCCTTCGTCGCTGAAGGTGGTAGTAAGGACCCCCTCGGTGACCACGCAGCCACAGTCTGAGCACACCAGCTGGCTCTGCGAATAGTGCGAGTCTTCCACGAGCTCAGTGGACCCGCAATCGGGGCAGTGGCCGCCGCCCGGCATCTCACAACCCAGGGCCGCGTAAGCTTTCAGGTATGTACTCCTACGTCCGCGACAGCAACAGTGGAGAAGCAGGAACTAGGAGGGGAGCCTTCTAAGCGCTGCACCTTTCTCTTCCGGCCAGAGCAATCGCGGTATACGTAGGTAGTTCTGTCGGCCGACCACGCGTCACTTCCGGTCCGTTTCTCTGCGGGCTCGGGTAGAAAGGTGAGTTAGGAAAGAAGGTTCCTAGTGCGGACCCCGTCTTCGCGTTCCCTGGTATTTGCGGTCAGTTTGACTGGGGGTTGAATTTGGGTGAAGTATCTACCTACATGGACACACTTAACACACAAGAAATTGTTGCCGTTCCCACAACTCTCTTTTCTGAAACTCTAGGAGAGTCGTAGATTCTCCGTTTCTCTTTGGTAACAAATGTTGATTTTGGCCATAGTACTGTTTGCCTAAAAGGAAGAATATTGTAGTGAGAGAGCAGGAAATTGTGTTCCACTCTCCAGAGCGGCTTTTCCCAGGCAAGTTGTTTCCTCTCTTTGCAGTCTGTTTTTCTAGAATGAGGGAGTTGAATGAAAATCCAGAGTGGCAAACACAAATGCTTTCAGAGGCTAGGCAAGGAATGTCTAAGGAGTTGGGAGTGAAAGAATATGGGGGTGGTGAGGCTTTGGGCAAACTGGAGGCTTCAAGCAGCTTTAGGTGCTTTTAAAAGCTGAGCTTTAAGATACTCCAAGATTCTGACTCCAAAGTTCCTAACTTGGTACAGTATAGATCAAAGAATCTTGAGCAAAATTGTGCCTCTAGTTACACTATCATAGAAACCAAGCTTACACATTTAAATTCTGTTATGTTTGAATATAAATTAAAAGGCACCAAAGAGAGTATTTTCTAAGTAAATCCTAATTGCACTCATGAAGAATAAAGATTTTAATGCTTAAAAGTTTTAGAATCAGCTATGTCTGAAAAACAAGAACATTGAGTTAAATGACAAGTGCCACCAGAAGCCTGTCCCTTATGACTCCAAGAAAGCAGATGGGAGTCAGCACAGCAAGTGCCTAAAGTGTATGTGGAGAATTTGTTTCTTGGGCTGACAGTAAAGAATTTCAGGTAGGCTCTTGGCATTAGCAGATTTTAGGAACTGTTGTGGGCTCAATTTCAACCTTACACTGGGGGTTGAGGATGGAAAGGTAAGATCAGCACTTTCCACTGAGAACAGAAAATGACTGGACAGCTCTATGCAGAATGAATTGAGGAATAAGGATGTTTTGTCAGGCCTTAACAAAATGGGATACTCCCTTGAGGAATAAGATACAGGTTACAGCTGCCTTCCTTAGAAGACTAATAAATTATGCATTCTAGAGAATTTTCAAAATAAAAAATGGAGCTTATTAGTCTGAAGAGACAGGTGACATAATGACCATGTACCCAGAGAGTCCTCAGAGGATTTGGGCCTCAAAAAGAAGGGGATCTGATCGGACAGGGCTGTAGGTTCTTTTGAAAGAGCTATGATCAGTGGTCAGGTACACAGGATTCCCTGTATGCCTAAGGAGACAGTGAGTTCCCTGGACCACAGTGGGGAACAAGGGCATTTCTGACACAAAGATTGCATTTTATCTACAATCCAAGCATCAGCTGTCTCTGCTTCAGATGTCACTTACCTTTAGTATAAATTGGGAAAGAGGTGCTGTTCCTTACAAGAATTGTCCATTCAACAGAAGCCCCCCTGGCTCACAAGTTCCTTCCCTCTGCCCATGGCTATTCCCTAAACCTCCCCTGCTTTGCTACAGGCACAACAGAATTTCCTGCACCTTGGACCTCAGTGGGCTGGCAGGATGCCTTTCCACTGACCAGCTGTTAGTTGGCCTGTGAACACAAAGCAGCCAGATTTCCATTTTCTCATTTTCCACACCAGCATCACGAGACTGTTAATGTACCTTGCTGAAGGGTTGAGGAACTTAAGGTATTGTAACAGAAATGAAAAATATATTTGTAAAATGGGAAATTTCATAAGACTCTCCTCACAGTTCAAGAGGAATGCATTAAAAAAAAAGAAGCAAACCAAACCAAAATACCTTCAAAAGTTGTCAGCCCCTTCTTTTCCAGTTTCTTTCCTTGCTATCCAGACCTAAAGACACCACTCCATCCCCAAGAGATTGCTTTCTCACAGCATAGAACCTCTTCTCCTTTCTAGAGAAGTCCCACCTACTACCACAGGACTTGATCATGCTGGAACATTCACTCCCTCCCCCCAACCAAGGGATGCAGTAATCCCCAACAGTCCACACCCTTACATTTGAATTACTCACTCTAGCCCCACACCACAAGGGGGATCAGCACAATAGCTTTGGGTGGGCACTGGTGTTCCAAGTCCCCTTTCTTCTAGACTTGCCCACTAGAGTAAGATATGTGATAAGGATTTACTTCTGGCTATCCAGCAGATAAATATTGAGACACACTTGCATGCTTATTTATGCACACACACGCTTGTCAGAGACATCCATTAGTTTTAGACAATACCATCGACATTCTGATTGGAGTGGAGAAATATGTCTCCAAAAGCAACATAACTGCATTGGGAATGCTTCTTCACATTATCATACAGAACAGCATCGGACTCCTCTCATCCCCAATTTTGTGCAGATCTTGACCCTAACTGCATTAAAAAAAAAAAAAAAAAAAAAAAAGTGGGATTTTTATTAGAATCCTCTACCCATGATAGAAGTCTCAAAATTCTGCTTTCCCCAACATTACTCATCATAAAGTGGAAGAGCGATTTTGTGATCCTCCAACCAGCATCTCTAAGGGGTAGAGAGGAGTGATTCTGTTTTCCAGTCACAGGTGTGTGATACCATAAGAGAGCCTGGCCCTCAGATGTCAACAGGCTGGGAGGTAGGCGGGACCCAGGCCAGAAGGTGGCGCACTCTATTAAGACTTGTAAGTCGAAGGGACCCTGGTTGGCTCAATCACCTGGCTGGCTCAGTCCATCGAGTATATGATTCTGGATCTTGGGGTCGTGAGTCGGGGCCCCACGTTGGGGAGGTAGATCGTACTTAAAATTTTTTTAAAAATGAAAAAAAAAAAGACTTGTAAGTCTGGGGTTCTCTACTTTCTTAGGAAGAAAGTGATTTATTTAGGAAATGGATTTGCCTTCCCCTGGAAATCAGGACAGACACAACATCCTTGGTGACTTTCCTGCCACTACAGACTCTTCTAAGAATTACCATCGTTCAGTGATAGTGATGATCTGTTTACCAGATGCTCCTCAAGCCCATCTCCACCACGCCACCCCCCAGCTTGTGAAACTGGAATCATGTTTCTCGTCTCTGTATCACCAGTGCCCACATGGTGCCTGGCACATAGGCTTTCGGAATGCTGAGTGCCCAGAGTGTGGGGGATTTGTGTAGAAAGCTCCTGGGGAGGGGAGGCTGTTGGAAAGGCTGCCCCAGCCACATCCAGATGTGAAATACTGACCTTAAGCCACAGTTCTTTCCAGAGAGGTAGAGGAAGAAGGGTTTTCTGATGGACAAGGAAGGCACTGACGGTGTGGGATGGAAGGAAGGTCTCACCAGTCCTCCCTCCGAGGAGGGATGTGTGTATTCTAGTTAGTCGTTTGCCTGTCTGGCTCTCCCTCTGCTTGCAAGTCTTTGTGGGAATGATGTGGCTCTCTCGGCCCTGTGTCCAGGGAGCCCCTCCTACGGTGAGGGTCGGCACTCAGCAAAGAGCTTGTCAACTCCTGTGACTACCCGTCCCCACGCTGGGCCTGTCAGGAGCAACAGATAGACTAAATTTCTCCGAGGCAAGATGATTCTAATTTAAAATAAGTAACCGGGGAGAGTTAGGCCGCCTCCAGTCCTTAATCTGGCCTCACCCCTGGGCTCCTCCCAGCTCAGCTGACTGAAACGTTGTCACTCTAAGCCAGTTTCACTCTGAGCCCAGGACACTCTCTCCTTGTCACGCTAAGCCAGGCCGCGACTCAGGCCGTGCAGTCTTTCTGACTGGATTTCCTTCGCATCACCTCAGCTCTTTGGTGGATACTCCTTCTCTACCACTCATGGTGACACTGCCATGGCATATAGACCTAAATCCTGGCGCCAGCTAACTTCCCTTGCTCATATCTGCTTTCCTCTTTTGCGTTGTTTATTCCATCCCCACTACCCACTTTGCCTTTCCCGGGCGGAGGATTAATGTGTTCAGTTTCTTGAACTCCTAGGAACAAAGGCATCTGGAAACTCTAAGAAGGTGGTCACAGGCCACCACTCGCTGCCCAGACTGAGAGCATGAATACCAGTCAGCTTACTTACCTGGAACTTCCTTCCTCAGGGCGGCTGTGGCTTCGCTGGCCTCATTTTGAGGGGAAACTGAGTCACACCTGCCTGCTCCAATCCTCTAGGATTCCAAGAGAATCAGAACATGATCTCTCTGACCCCCAAAGTGATCCTAGACTAGGGGTGAGCAAACTCTTTCTGTAAAGGGCCAGACAGCAAATATTTAGGTTTGGCAGATGGTAAGGTCTCTGTTACAACTACTCGGGTCTGCTTTTATAATGTGGGAACAGCCATAGACCATGACGTAAATGAATGCACATGGCTGTATTCCAATAAAACTTGGTGGGAACTGACATTGGAATTTCAAGTCATTTTCATGTGTCATGAAATAGTGTTATTTTTTTTTGTTAAAAAAATGTAAAAATTCCAGTATTCAGTGTGGTGGTGTTGACAGGTGGTCATCATTCCGTACATTAGATCCCCAGACGCATTCATTTGACGTTAAAAAAAAAAAAAAGTAAAAATCATTCTTGCCTCGAGGGCCATACAAAACCAGGAGGCAGGCTGTACTTGCTAACCTCTGTTCTCCATCTCCAGGTCAGACAGATGAGGAGTTCAAATCCGTTCTGAAGTACTCACTGTGTGACCCTAGGGGAACTAAAGTTCTGATGTCCAAGACTCAGTTTCCTCATCTGCATAACGGACATACTGTCTACCTTGATGAGAATTAGAAATAGGACATGTCAGTGCTTAGGGAACAGTAATAATGCAGTAAACGAGCCTTCCTTTTGCAGTCAGGCTCCACCTGAAGTGCGCTTGCTAGGCAGACAGGAGCAGCTTTCTCTCACCTCTGTGAGGGCTTATCAGAGGCACCAGGGTGACTATTTCCAGGGCGCCGAGACAGGTTTCTGCATAAAAGAGTCGAGAGGCTGAGCACACTCCCTCAGGAGTGTTTGGTGCTTTGGAGTATGCTGGCCCCACAGAGCTGAAGGAAGCCTGTTTTGAATGCGAAGTAAAAGCTTCTGCTTGCCAGGAGGGCGAGATGGCAGAGTCCCCAAGGTGACTCCTGAAGAGAAGCCGAGGGAACAGGGTCCATCTGCTTAGAGACTGGGTTCCGGGGCTGAGGGAGCCAGTGATGTTTGGGCCACAGCTGAAGAGTCCTACCCATGCCCTGTTAGTGGCCGTTTTCCCTGGCGGAGGGGGGGTAAGTCGGAGGGGGAGACGAACCATAAGAGACGATGGACTCTGAAAAACAAACTGAGGGTTGGGGGGGGGGGGGGGGGGGGGGGGTGGGTTGGAAGTAACCTGGATAGTGTCTGCAGCCACCACGGCTCTTCTGTGGGTGTCTGGGGGCGGGCAGGGGGAGGGGGTAGTTGGCTGGGGCACCTTCTCCCCCGGAATCACTCTCTGTCCTTGCTGCAGAAGAGTATCCAAAGGCGTGCGGAAATGTTCAAAGCTATCCGTACTGTACCGCGTACTGCGTGTTCCCATCTTCATTTTATTTTCTTTTTAAAGGTTTTATTTATTTGACGGAGAGAAACACAGCTAGAGAGGGAACACAAGCAGGGGGAGTGGGAGAGGGAGAAGCAGGCTCCCCACGGAGCAGGGAGCCCGATGTGGGGTCGATCCCAGGACCCTGGGATCATGACCTGAGCTGAAGGCAGACGCTTAACGACTGAGCCCCCCAGGCGCCCCCCAGCTTCATTTTAAAGTGTATCTAAATACATAAGCTCCCCCATCCCACCCGGGGGGCTTCATAGGCACTAGGCCTGCCTCTGTCTCTCTAGTGTGACTTTTATCACTGAGCAAGAAAAAGTGTCTCCTTCAAGAGGTTGGGGTCCTTGGAGCATGGACTATGGGTGGGAGGCAGGCAGACCTCGAATCTCATCAGGAAAGGCTCCGAGTCCTGGGAGAGCTGAGCTCAGGGGAAGATTCTCGGTGCTTCCCTAATACCCTCTACTCAGAAATGAATAAACAGAGTTGACTGAACCAGGGATTTGGCTCCCAGGTCTGGGGCAGTCTGAAGCCAATCTGAATTTAAATCACGTCCCCATAGTGAAACTTTTACTCTCTAGGAAATCGGGGGTGGGGGGTGGGGATCAAGGAAGGGACCTCATTCACATGCTCAGCCAAAAGTGCCCGGTGCCAAGGAAGAGGTAGCAGCTCTTCGCAGTGGGGGCAGAGAATTCAAATGATGTTCTTCTGGTAAATGCCATGGTCCCTGCAGGCCAAGATGAGGGGCGTGTCATAGGGATCAGAGATGTCCCATCCTCTGCTGGAGAAAGGACACTGGGACCTCTGGGCCCCAGGCAAGGTGGCAGCCACAGGAATCCAGATGAGGGAAGCTCATGGGGTGAGAAACACTGGTCACTCCCTAAGAAAGGTTTTCTCTTTTTTCTTTTTTTTTTTAAGATTTCATTTATTTATTTGACAGAGACACAGAGAGAGAGAGGGAACACAAACAGGGGGAGAGGGAGAGGGAGAAGCAGGCTTCCCGCTGAGCAGGGAGCCCAATGTGGGGCTCGATCCCAGGACCCTGGGATGACGATCCGAGCTGAAGGCAGATGCTTAACGACTGAGCCACCCAGGAGACCCGAGAGGTTTTCTTTAAGAAGACATTTTTATTGCACCCACATGAAAGTACAGACACAAATCTTTGAAAGGTAGTACCATTTTATTTAGTGTTATAGAAATTTTAGGTTACTTCTTAAAAACAAAACCAAAGAAATTAAAAACTCCCAAACTAACAACGCAGGAAATTATTTTATAATCCAAAAATGCTGGGCGATCTTTCAATCGGAGGGTGGAAGAAGTCAAGTTAGTAGCTCATATAATAGATAGAAACCAGGGAGTCGAGGTTGGTATGACTACTAGGAGGCTAAATTCTCCACCTAAGGCAATTAATCGGTCAGCCTTGAGGGATCATTAATTCGTAGTTCTCAAAAAGAAAATAAAAAGATCGATTGGGAAAAGGGACTCAGGGAGGGAAGATCCTGCCTAATTTAACATTAAATTGCCTCTGGCCTTCAGCTGGGTATGTGGCTGAGTGTCCTGGGCCCTCCTCCCTCCCTCCCTCTCCGCCCTTTTGAGCTCCCATGGTTAGCAAAGCTGGAAACCACACACACACACACACACACCCTATTCATGTGCCCACACCTCCCCCTCAGGGTCAAGAGCTCTTCCTCATGGCAAAGGGCAGACTTTCTTGTTCCTCCACTGTGATAGGTGTTAACACAGAAATCAAATGGAGGGCAGGAAACCTGTCAAAGTCCAAGGGATAAGATGATAGGAAACAGGCAAAGGATTGACATTTTTTTCAGGAGGCTGCCTCCAGCTGAAGTTCACTGCAAGGGGTTCAGTGTTTAATCTGATGCTTCCCTTAAGTACTGACTGCTCTTTCTGGAGGCAGCTGGGCAAGGCCAGGAAGAGACCTGCTCCTGCTTCTCCAGAACACAGCTTCCTCCCAGCGTCCTTCAGTCAGGTTGGCGTTTCTAGCAGCCAGAAGCAAGTCCCAACTCTCCTCCTGTAGGGGAGTGCGCGCCCTCCGACACGTGCCAGGCACGGGAGCTCCAACACTCCGATTCACCAGCCCCTGCTAATGGCTCAGGGCAGACTGAAGCTTCTCCTAGATAAATCCTCCCCCAAAGTAGAGCCCTCCAGAACAGTCATTACCTCATGCCCTCCAGGTTAGCTACTTTGAGAGGGGCAGGAATGCTATAAATTGGATTTTTTTCCCCAGCAGTGGTAGAAGCCAGACACCCTTGAAGTAAATTGTCCTTCATCCTCCAGAGTCCCCAAGTGGCATTTCAGAGCACAGGAATTCACTCTTCTACCCAAACATCCCTCTCAAATACTGACCGAGTTACATACCCGAGGTCCTAGCAGCAGATAATATCTCCAGACCAAGCACCTCTCGTGAACAATGCAGGTCTCCACACCAGCTCTTCTAAGGAGAAATCATTCAGAGCACCTCTGCCCCCAGTGCCCTTGGGTTATCACAGTCAAAATACGTTTTTAAGTAAAAAACCTATTGCGGAACGAATATATATACATGTACGTTTTCAGAGTTGAGGCGAATACATGGTTCTCTTTATAGGTATGTAAATAACTCTCAACAGCACTACAAAAATACAAGTCATCTGGGAAGTTTACAGTGGTCCCCACTCCTGTAAGAGTATTAAATAAAACAGCTACAGATAATCAAAAGCTGATTAATCAAGTTATAGTATCACCCTTCAGGTTAAAGTGCTCCGATATAACTAACATTGCAGCAAGTGTGTGATTCTGAAAAGGGGTTCTGCTGCCAACCATCTTGCCTCTTTACCCGCCACAGAACAAGAACATACAGAGAAGAGACCCCCCCCGTCTAATAACTGTTGTTGCCTCAAGCCCTGCCCACTGCGCTGGCCTGTGATCTTCTTCCGCCCCAGAGAGAGGTGAAAGTTTGATAAGATTCTGTTCACAACCAGGAGGAAAAAAAAAACAAGCAACACAGAAACCTTCTAATTCCAGTATTAGGTTCCGAACAAGGAAACTACCTGAGGAATCCGAACCGGAGCTATTAGTTCAGAAGCGTCCTAGCTTTAAAAAATTGGTGTGTTCTTCTAGATTTAAAAATACGGCCAACCAAAACTAAGTGTTATCTTCTTGCTCTTCGTAATTTTGTAACAAGGGCTGGTGGGGGGCGGGAATCACCAGGAAGTGTTGCTGAGGAAATCAGGGAGCCAAGCAAAGGCACTAGGGGAACAGGCCACAGGAGTCCTACTGAGATCATCCCATACCTGGTGCAACGGAGTGAGTAAATGCTTGGGCCACCCGATCCCTTCTCAAGCACTGACGAGGCCACTCTAGTCAGCAGGAACCTGGCTACCCGCTACCGTGAGCCTTTGACCAACCCCCGTTAAGTGAGTGCAAAGTGATGAATTCCCTCTTCTACTTCTCATGTCCCCACAGACAGGCCCTATGGACCGATCAGGAGCACACTGTAAGGCTAAAGAGTAGTGCAGCTGGTGCTTAGAAAAGGCAGCTTGTTCCAAATCTACAAGGCATACTCAGAGGCTTTCTTTAACCTCCCCTGCTTCAGTCAAATCAACAAGACCAAGTCCAAGAAGCCCAGAAGGTTTACACGGTATCAAAACAGCACCTGTAGCCAAACGCCACCCTGAGCTACTCAAAAGCCAGGCAAGTATGTGCCCAGCCCTTCTCATTTCACCCTACACTTTACTGATGGGGTGCGGGTGGGAGTGGGAGTATGTAGTTTTAAATGTCAATATCGAAGAAAGAAAATCTCAATGTTAAATACATGAATAACCCTGCGCCATCTGAGTCTCTGGGCCAGGAGCAGATCTTATGACCACGTCTCTGGTCAGAGCATAAAATATTTACAATATAGTTAAAGGCACAGTGGCATTTAAAAATAAAACCCTGGGAATGGACAGTAAAAGATTCATTGTAATAATTAACCTGGCTTCGGTTGGTGAAACTGACTCTTGCCAGATAACAGGCAAGGGAGGCAGCTGGTGACTTTGAGCCTGTATGCTGGTTATCAGGCATACTGAGTCCTTGGCCTCAGGAGCAGGTGGAAACAAACTCACAAAACAGTCTCCATCTCCTAGGCTGACAATTCACATCTTTCCTGCCTTTTTGCCAACCTGAGCCGGAATACGGAGGATGTTGGGGGTTTCCTCCATGACCCTGACGAGCAGATTGTCAATGTAGTCTTCCAGCTCTCGAACCTGAAACTCCTTCTTGCTTATCGTCTCCTTCTGTTTGAGGACCAACTGGATCAGCTCATCGTGGGTTAGCTGTGCGTAAGCAAAGGCAGGGTCCGAGGGGTTGTATTTCTTTAGAAGGGGAGAGAGGGGGAGAAAAAGTGGTAAAGTCAGCAAAGAAGGCAAATATCGAAAAGAAATCTAAAAGAGGAAAATGTTATTAGCGATCGGAGTCTCCTGGGAATGTGTTTTCAGTTCAGGTAGAAAACCGGTTTATTGACAAAGTTTTCTGTAAAGGATCAGAGAGTAAATAGTTTAGGCTTTGCAGGCCATATATGGCCTGTGTTGTCTGTTCTTCTTTGCTGGTTCGTTTGTTCTTTCTGTCTTATGACTTTTTAAAAATGTAAAAACCATACTTGGCTCATAGGCTACAAAACCCTGGATTAGACTCTGGATTTGAGGTTTTAGGAAATGTAACAATTGGAGGTCTCTGAACACTAGGAGCTGGCACAACGAAATATCAATGCGAAGCTGAGAGCCCCAAGCTAAGGTGGCCCATGAAGAAACCCTAGTGACAGAAGGTGCGGGAGACGATGCTCACCCATCACCACCCCACGGAGCCACTCATCCTGGACTACCTGCTACTTCCTCAGCTACACTCAGAAGGACCCCACGGGTAGGTTGATGCACTGGCCACTCAGAGACCCCACTTTAAATCACTTCATACTCAAGACATGTGCAGAGTCAGAGCTAAGTGCCACGGTGGCGCATCACCCAGTCCAGCAGCTCAGAATCATGGCGCACCCTCTGGGCACACAGCAGCCAGTGCCAGGGCTGAGCGGCCCCACTCTTGCCAACAGCAGGAGCCCTAAGGAGTTACTCCATCAGCATTTATAATCTGGGATGACTGGAGTCCAGCTGCAAAGTGACCAGGCCCAAACTGTGAGGAAACACAAGATAAGGATTGAATGAAAAGTACCACGTCGTACCAAGTCTCCAGTTGGAGAAGCTAAGTCAAGAGCAGAATCATCATTCACTCTTTTGACAACACGATAGAAGGCGCTGCTCAGTGCAGTGATGTAAGCTGCCTACACGCTAGCCAGACATCAGAGAGAAATCCCACCCATCTTATCCTGGCTCAGAAGGAAAGCACAGGGCTCGTAGTCCCGGCTTAGAAGCACACACCGACAATGCCATGCACGGAGCAGGTTTTCACCTAACACAGGCTGCACGGAAACAGGCAAGAGGTTGGACTACTTTTTCGAAAAACCACTTCTCCCTTAATCCTTTTGTTGTTTTTGTTTTTTAACTTGTTGAAGGCACACATTCCTCTGGACCTCAATCACCCTATTAGTAATGCTGAAACCATCTTCAACCAAAAAGTTGAGTGTCTGGAAAAGGATTCTGGAGACTGGTTGTACAAGGTGAATGTACTTAACGCTACTGATCTGTACACTTAAAAATGCTTATGATCCCTTATGCACTGTTGTTGCTGGGAATGCAAGCTGGTGCAGCCACTGTGGAAAACAGTATGGAGGTTCCTTAAAAAATTAAAAATAGAATTGATCCGGTAATCCCGCTACTAGGTATTTACCCAAAGAATACAAAAACACTAATTTGAAAAGATACATGCACCCCTGTGTTTGTTGCAGCATTAATTACAAGAGCCAAACTATGGAAGCAGCCCAAGTGTCCCTCCTCTGATGAATGGATAAAGAAGTGGTAACACACACACACACACACACACACAAATGGAGTATTACTCAGCCATAAAAAAAGAATGACATCTTGCCATTTCCAACGACGTGGACGGACCTAGAGAATATAATGCTAAGCAAAACAAGTCAGCCCGAGAAAGACAAATACCATATGATTTCACTCATATGTGGAATTTAAGGAACAAACCAAACGAACAAAGAAAAAAAAAAAAGAGACAAACCAAGAAACAGACTCTTAAACTGTAGAGAACAAACTGATGGTTACCACGGGGCGGGGGGATGGGTGAAATAGGTGATGGGGATGAAGAACACACTTATGATGAGCAGAGTAATGTATAAAATTGTTGAATCACTAAACTATACACCTGAAACTAATATAACACTATTGTGCTTGATTGAACATTTTTTAAATTTTTAAATGCTTAAGAGGGTAAAAGTTTTATGTTATGTTTATTTTACCACAATTTTTAAAAAAGGAGTTGTCCTGATGTCCTCAAGCGTTTTTAGATTATAGCTCTGTCATACAAGGATTTTATTTATTGAAAAATGTGGGTCATATAAGATACGGTGCAAGATGGTTTTTGAGATAGAAAGATGAAGAAGCTGTCGCCTGGAGGCAGGAGCAGCAGGTGCTCCTGGAGAGGAGAGACCAGGTCCTTAGAAGCCTCACACACTAGGCTCAGAGAGCTGGAAACCAAGACCCCTGTGCTACACAGGAAGTCGAGACAAACTGCAGAGATGGGGTGTGACAGCTCAACTAGACTTTGAAGACGAATTAAAATTCATTTTCCCCAGGGGCGCCTGGGTGGCTCAGTCGGTGAGGCATCTGCCTTCGGCTCTGGTCATGATCCCGGGGTCCTGGGATCAAGCCTTGCGACAGGCTCCCTGCTCAGCGGGGAATCTGCTTCTCCCTCTCCCTCTGCGCTCTCTTGCTCTCCCTCAAGTAAATAAATAAAATCTTTTCTAAAAAATTAATTTTCCCCCAAAATAACAGAATTCTGTTTTCACTATAAAGGAGATATTTCCTCATAAGGGAAAATCTCAAATACAGAAGAAGGAAAAAACTATTACCTGGAACTCCAACTTATACATAACATTTGGGTCTCTTATTTCTTCCTTCGATTCTTTATGGTAAGTTTTATAACTTTAAGCATCATGCAGAATATGGTTTTCAAGCATTTTAAAATTACTTTATGAGCATTTTCCCATCACTAAATTTTAGCAAAAATCATTTTTTTTAAAGATTTTACTTATTTATTTGACAGAGAGAGAGAACACAAGCAGGGGGAGCGAGAGAGGGAGAAGCAGCTCCCCACCAAGCAGGGAGCCTGACTTGGGGCTCAATCCCAGGACCCTGGGATCACAACCAGAGCTAAAGGTCTGCAGACACTTAATGGACTGAGCAACCCAGGCGCCCCCCACCTTTTTTTTTTTTTTTAGCAAAAATCATTTTTAATGGATGCTTAAAATTTCATTATATTTTACCTGTCTCCTTTGCTATTTAGATTTTTTCAGTTTTCAAATTATATATAATATTTTTATTAAAATGCATGAGCATAAATCTTTGATCACGTCTCTAAAATATTTCCTTATGATAAATGCATAGGGTTGAAAAGGCATGTGCGCTTCATACCTTACAAACTATGAAACAGCTATTCAGTTTGGATTTCATAATCCAAAGGGGAAAGAATGTAAGACTTTGAAATCATTAGGCAATCCTAGATACGTGATGATTTAAAAAATTATAAAATGATCCAGCATCACAGAAAGTGAGCAACAGCCATGGCAAGGAAGAGGTACAAAGAAAATAACCATTAATTCAAGAAAAAACACTGCCCATTGTCACATATTTCCTTCCAGGATTTTCACCTTGGATGTTCCCACCGTAGTTGTAATAATAATGACGTATATTCAAATTTGTGTCTAACTTTTTCCATATTAACAGAACAGATGATTTTTGGATCTAATTGGCTGTATTATTTTTAAATGGAAGTGTTAAAGCCACCTGGGTAAATAATACACTCATCTATAAGGGACGGAGGCCCTAAAACAGCAACCCCCCAAAAAACCCATTATGGTAATGACTCAGCTAGCTTTTCCTAACTTTAGCTATGCAATTTCTTTCCCTAACCTCGCTGGTACTTTGCAACATTCCAAAGAGTAGTTACTTTTGTAAATATTATTTATGGCTTAGTACAAAGCATCTGTTATATGGGGGGCCAAGGGGAGTCTCTAGGAAACTTTCCGTATTTGCTCAGAATATTTACTAGGTATGGTCCAGGACCAAGCGCTTTGTTGCAGGCAGCCCGAGGGGCAGCTGCCGGGCTTACAAATCATGAGCAAAATAAGCAGCAGTTGCCTTTGTTTTAAGGCAAGTTATTCTCTTCGTCAGGGCCAGGAGATAAGCCCCTGATTAAATGAGCTTTGAAGAATAAATAAAATGGGAGCCAAGGGTCTTGCTCACTTCCCGAGAGCTAGGTGTTTGTTTCTCTTTGGAGCCCAGCTGCATTCCACAGTACAAGAGGGGATGGGAGGCTGCTCCATGACCCTAGTTTTCATTACTGTCCCTTTTATGCTGTACTTTTTCCTGGTTTCCTGGTAAATATCATTAACTCCAGGAAGGTCAGTGCTGCCTCTTCACACCCTCAGAGGCCCGCCAAGCTGAGCTGGGCGAGTTATGGGGCATTTTTAGGCTAGGGCTAAAACATAGCAGGTATGTCTGAGAATGATGCTCACTTACCACTGGCCCCGACAGCACGCAGTACAACGGAAGAGAAGGCAAGGCAGCTAGAAGATGCTAGCTTGTTCGCAATGACCATCTGTTACCACTATTCAGCCTCCTTCCCTGAACCTCAGAGCTCCAGCTTTCAGTAAACCCTTCGCCCAGCTCCTGGCGGCAGAGATGCAATGGAACCCAGTGGTAACAACTAACTGGCACTTTAAAAACGCTTACAGGGGCGCCTGGATGGCTCAGTTGGTTAAGCATCTGCCTTCAGGTCGGGTCATGATCTCAGGGTCCTGGGATTGAGTCCTGCATCAGGCTCCCTGCTCAGCTGAGAGCCTGCTTCTCCCTCTCCTCCCTGCTCATGCTGTCTCTCCCTATCTCTCTCTCTCTCTCTCTCACAAATAAATAAAATCTTAAAAAAATATAAAAATGCTTACAGGAGTAAAGGAGACACGAGCAAGAAATTTTTATTCTAAAATCACGAAGACTACTTGATGTTTTACAGTGCATAGGGTAAAATTCTCATTAAATGAAGCGTTTAGATGCCTTGGACTAAAATAGAAATAAAGTTTATTTCTACTGACAGTGGTCCTCAGTAGTCAGTTAGGAAACTCCTCTCCACATATTTGAAACGCAACACAGCCTTGCCAACAAGTCCCTCCGTAAATCATTCTCCTCCAGCCCAAGTGATTATGAGTCAAAGACCAGAGGTTTGCAACAAGGTGGTGTTCCATAGCCTCCTGATTTTAGAACCAGAAAGGGCAGGATGGAGACGCTCCAAAGCAGATATCATCTGGGGGATTGGTTTGGTTTGGCTGGTGGGCAGGAGTTGTTTTTTTTAAAGTTAGCCCAAGCTTTTGAAAGAGAAGAGATCCTCTAATCAAACGATACTCTTCCGGGAAATTTAGCTTAAGAAGGGTAAAAGTTCGGGCGCCTGGGTGGCTCAGTTGGTTAAGCGACTGCCTTCGGCTCAGGTCATGATCCTGGAGTGCCGGGATCGAGCCCCGCATCGGGCTCCCTGCTCTGCAGGGAGTCTGCTTCTCCCTCTGACCCTCTCCCCTCTCATGCTCTCTATCTCATTCTCTCTCTCAAATAAATAAATAAAATCTTAAAAAAAAAAAAAGAAGGGTAAAAGTTCTATGCAAGAAATTGTTGACTATAACGTTATTCACATTGAAGAACAGAAAATCACCCAAATATCCAATAACAGGGGAATGGTTAAGCAAATATTGGTACAACCATTTCAAAGACTATTTAAGGAGCAACATGCAAAAATGCTTATGATCTACTGAATGAAAAAGAGTACTGGACAGTGTTTCTACACGGGCGATGGAACTGCCCCTGCCATATTCACCAACGGATCTGAAAGCCTGAGAACAACAGGATGTTTACATAGTCTGAAATTAACTCCCCATGAATTTCATATTGATTGTAAAAGGGGAAAATAGCAACTTTACACTAGAGAGCCTCCTGGACACCACCTAAAGTCAGTCATCAGAGTTAACATGCCCACTACCACGACAAGCGGATATAATGTGCCTCCTTCTACGAACCACCGAGAAGGACTCATGATTTGCACGGTTAATTCCTGCCAGGAATGCGCGACCTCAACCAAACCATGAGAAGAGAGCAAATCCAAACAGAGGAAAATTCTACAAAACAACTGATCTAAAGTCTTAGAGAATGTCAAGGTTCTTCAAGAAGGCTGGGGAATTGTTCCAGGATAAAGGAGTCTAGGGAGACACGGCAACAAAACAGCAAGAGATCCTGGACTGGATCCTGGACTGGAAAGAAAAACAGGAAAACTAGGGAGCACACTCACGAGACAACGGGTGAAGCTCAAGTATGGGCTACAGATGAGAAAAGGGGATTACATCAACTTTACATGTCTTGACCTTGATTAAATGACCTTATTCTTGGGAATTACACACTTAAGTATTTAGTGGTAAATGGGGCTTGGGGTAGGCAACTTACCCTCCAATGGTTCAGACAAAGAAAAAAGTCTGTATATACAAAGAGAGAACGGACAGGGAACAGGAGAGAGAGAGGGTGAAAGTGATAAAGCCAATGTGGTAAAATGTCAACAACTGATGAAAGGCTTATAGCAGTCCTTTGTACTATTCTTGCAACTTTTTTTAAGTTTGAAATGATTGCAGAATAAAGTTTCAAAAAAGTATATCTAGGCAATGATGACAACCACAAGAATTTTACATTCTTGCCAAAAGATAAGAAAGAACACACGGGGAAATGAAAATTTCTGATTGGAACGGACCAGATGGTGGGTGACATTTTCTTCTCACCAAAAAGCAGCACCGGTATCAGTCATGTTGCTTGAGACCTAAGCAATTCAACAATAACTAAGTAACTCTCAGGGGAGCAGTAATAATCCCCTGGGAAGCGTAGGGGCTTCCAGAGATTATCTGAAGACCCAGACGTTTGTATGGTCAAGTCACTCCCGGCGTTACCTGCTGCTGAAGAAGGTGTATATCACGGTGACTCCAGAAACTGGTTTTTTCATAGATCCCTAACTAGCACGCCTACTTCCTGGAGGAGACATACCTTCATCATGGTCTCATTGATCAAGTTCTCACTGATGATGGTGGCGGTGCCCAAGCTGGAGTTAGCAATCTTGGTGGCTGTTGTGTTCATTGGCTTCACGGGGTGGAGTCTAAAGAGAAGGGGATAGGATCCTTAGACCTTTCAGTAATGACAAAACCGAGAAACCATCCATCTCGCGGATGGCAGCCGGCGAGACAGACAAGAGGGCAGAGTGGTGACACGTTAGGTTCACACCTCCAGTCCGACACACACCAGCGTTCCTGTGGAAATGAGGGCGGCCGGCACGAGGCAGCCACATGCAGGCCCACCACGCACACTGGATAGCCAGGTGTCCTGATGCTCTCACAAGACCCCTGGTCTCATTGTCAATGTCAGAAGAACATTAAAGACAGCCTCTGATTTTGGGGGCAACTACAGCCTAGGACCCGCACCGTGGGAGTCGCTACAGAGCCTTCCGTTCCTCAACAGTAAAGAAAGAGTTCGGAACAAACTCGCCAGCTTCACCTTACAGCAAGCTTTCAGCACTGCTGCGTTCTACCACTCCGTCTCGGCTGCTTTCTGATGCTAGGAAGAGACGGGTCACAGGACATCGCTGTAGTTTGAGAGGCCCAACTCTGACTGGGCAGAACAATTCCTAAACTACCTCTGAAGACTGTCACTATGTTCTCCCTACAAGCGCAGGAGTGTCTTGAGGAGGTATTCCCACCATGGGGCGGGGGGAGACCCTTTGAAAATAGGCCCTAACAGCACAATGCACGGGATGTGCCATCGGGATAGCCGTGCAGTTAGAAAGCCAAAACCTCTGCAGGCAGAAGGCAAAGGGTTGGGGGTGGGGGGGGGCATCGCTCCCATGGATGAAACGATCTTCCCCGACTCTCACCTGTGCTTGGCTGACCCCGTTCCCGCGCTCGGCTGAGCTGACACTGGATGTGTCTCTGAGGGTGAGACCCAGGCCTGAAGAAGCGGCTTCCTCTTGCTAGAATTTTCCACCTTACCAGCGGAGCCCTCTGCTGTTGCTTTTTTTTGAGATTCTGCTGTACCGGTGGGGTGAGTGTCAGTGTGTGGGTAGCTAGGGGAAGAGTGTGTAACAGGAAAGGTCTCAGAAAAGGAGGGGCTGGATATAGGAGAATCCAGGGCCCTATCAGGAGGCTGGCTTGGCCTCCCATTTCCCATCAGCTTTTCCTTCTCGCCACCGCCAGGACCTGGCAGCCGTTTATCCAAGCGTGAGCCCTTGCCAAGATCTGGTTTGTGAATTCCTGAAGCTGCAGTTGGCCCTGAGGAGGCTGCAGTAGATGCTTTGGGTGCTTTTGACCTGAGGTCAGGCGGGCTCTCCACAGGCGCCGCCCACCCGTCTGCCTCGCCCCTCGGCCCCTTTTCCCTCTCAGGACGGGCAGGGCACAGGCTCAAGGAAAAAGGCCCTCCTTCCAGGGCCGCCACCTGGGCTGTCTCTCTGTCGTCTTCAACCTGATCCACTCTCTCATCATCCGATGCCACCTCAGGAATGGAAGGAAGGGTTAAGCCCAGATCAGCCATGACTGGAGAGTTCACACCTGGGGTAGAGTGAAGGCCACTCAGGGGACTGGACGATAAACCTTCGTGATCACTGGCTTTGCTCTGATTTTGAGCCGTAAGTATATCGTCTGGCTCGATCCTCAAGAGGGGAATGTCCTTCCCTGAGCTTGCTTCACTCACGGACCCTTCTGAGACGCTCTCCTCGCATGAGGGGCGGGGAAGGGCGTCTGCCTCGGAAGCCGGCACACCACACTTCGCGCGCCCGGGTGGGGACATGGCGGCCTTCTCTGCGTCCTCTGCGTGGAGAGACCCAGCAGGCTCGCGGTCTGACACGTTTCCAGCAGCGGCTCCTTCATGCGTCAGCTCCTGGGGATCACCTCTGTCTTCTTCCACCGGCCTGGCGGACTTCTCTAGCTCCTCTTGGGTAAAGAGCTGCTCAGAAAATGACACGTGCTTCTTGATTTTCTTTCGGCTCTCGCCCACATTCTCTCCGTGTCTCTGCATCACGGAGCCAAGAGGGGGAGCCGATTCTCCCATCTGAAGAGGGGGCGCCACTTCCTTCATGGCAGAAGTCATACTGTCTTCCTGAAGCCCGTTCTCCCCAAAAGACGCAGACAGACTCTCCGAGTCTGTGTTTGCCCCCATTGGAGGCCTCCCTGCTGGGCTTTCAGTCTGCCCACTTCTGAGTGAAAGGGTGAATGTTATTTCTTGGGTCTCCTGAGATGAAGGGACGTAGGGGGGAAACCCCAGATCTTCCCCCTGGTGCCCCATTTCAGGATGCTTCAGGAGAGACTTTTCTGAGTCACTACCGATGGTGCTCTCTGGGCCTACCTCACCGGTCTTCCTCGTGGGAGAATCTTCCGTCCCTTTACAAGCTGGAGTGGGTAGCTTTTTGGAAAGTGACCCCGAGGCACCGGAAATAGTCTTTGGAACTTGTGTTAAACTCTCCCTTGGCAATTCGGCCTTAAGGAGCAAAGATGGCTCTTCAGGACGGGCCTGGCCCTTGTCTGTGGAAGGCCAGCTCTCAACCGGCGTGGAGGTGGAAATGGGAGGCGCTATGGGAGATGAGAAAGAGAAGACAGAAGGAGATTCAGAGGACGGTGTGTCTGCATCATGCCCCGATTTAGAAGGGACTGGTGTGTGGCCAGAACTGGAAAAAAGAGCAGAGAAGAAGAGAGGAGAGTCAGGGGAAGAAGGAAGCCTGGCTGTGGGTTGAGCCTCTGGAGACACGTCCAGTCTGCAAAAAGGACAAAATAAAATCTGCAGGTCAGTTGCAGATGCATCGTGAGAGGCGAGAAACACTTACAAATAAAGTTGCTCCAAAGGGGAGAACACTTTTATATTTGGGGCGATATCTTAAGAAGTGAGAGAAGGAACATCAATCACTTAACGTACCAAAGGGACACTTTTATCACCAACACACATGCCACATGAGAGGCTGTTGCAACAGAAAGCTCCACGTAAAGCAACAGCCCACAGTTTCTTTTGGTGATAAACAAAAAGTATCTACAAAGTTCAAAGCAGTAAAAGATACACCTGGAGGCAACAGGCACCAATCCTGAAGAGGAACAGTCTGTGTGTGCGTGTGTGTGTGTCCGTGTGTCTGTGTGTGTGAAATCAAAGTAAGCAGAATCTCAAAAAAAGTCTCTCCCACCCCAGACCACAGAAATATTGTTAGTGTGAATGTGAGAAAGCAGAAAGCCCCCAACGCTCACTCAGGCTCTTGCAACAAGATGCACATTGAACACGCAGAGAACGGGCACACTCGGGAGTGGACCAAGGGTCTCCTGTACCAGCACACCAATGCCAAATTGCAAGGAGGAAAGATATCATCTGCCTCAAAGGGAAATATGTGATAAGAACTCTAAATAAACACATGTTCTGCACATACCACAACCAGAATCTGGTATGCCCAACTTGCAATACTCAGAATCTGCTACAAACCAGGGCATTCCACCGGGGGCTGATTATCTTACTGAGACGGACAGACCATGCCTGCTGGCAGTGGCCCTGGGCTGGGACACACACATCACTGTAATCTGGGCCAGGGTGGGCCAGCCAGGCAGGCAGGCAGGCAGGATGTGCTAGTCAAAATAATTCAGGCCATTAAATGCTTGCCATACACTGGTACCACCCTGGAACCACATGCAAGATTTGCTCTACCGGCAGACCTTGCTGACCACCACGAACAGTGAGGTGCAGGCCCTACACCAGGGGGGCAAAGACTCACCGAGGCTTGACAGCTTTGGTCTGTGGAGCCCTTGCAGAGCTGACAGCTGGTGCAGGTTCTGACTTGGGCTCTCGGTCAGCTTCCGGTTCTGTGATCGTCACTTCCTCAAAGGGATTCAGGGATTTACCCCATCCAGAGACGACAGCCAGAGTGTCCTTCTCAGAGCTTTTCACTAGGTCTTCGTCAGGCCCTGGCTGGTCCTCCCTTGGTTGGACTTCCATCAGCGTGCCTTCCTTCTCCTTCCCTGGGATGGTAGGCGGGCTTCCACCCTCACTGCCCTTAGCCACGTCCTTCTTTCCCGTCACCAGAGAAAGCAAAGAGGACTTCTTGTTCTCCTGCTTCTTGCTCTCTTTGGTTTCTTTTGCAGCTTCCAAGCTCGCCGAAGCCGTGTTCTCCCGAACAGCCCCACTGCCCTGCGGCCGGTAGGTCGGCAGAGACATGGATTTCGGAGAGTCCTTTGTGGAAGACTCAGAAAACCGCCTGTCGGAAGACACCGCCCCTCCATCCCCAGGCTCCTTCCAAGACCTAGGAGCCAGGTTCTCGGTGGAGGAGAACAGATGCTTCTTCCTGAAGCCCTGGGGGGATGGGGAAGAGGAGGGGGTGCTGTCCTTGGTCTCACTCTTGGCTTCCGGCTCCTCCATGTAAACATGGTTCCCGTTGATACAGACATTAGAGCGAGAAAGGACGTCATTCTTAGACCGAAGGCCGCCAAGAAAGGAGAGTCCTTCCTTTTTGGGAAGGTTGAAATTGATCTGGTTCAGTTGCTTAGCATCTGCACTCTCTGTTCTCTTGTGAGACATAACTGTGGAAAGAAAAACAAAGATCAAAAGGAAACAAGAAGTTAAACGACCGGTTCACAACTGGAAGGGGGTGACCATTTCTTGTGTCTGAATGCATTTCTGGTTACCGGCATGGGGGTGTGTTACTGGCATCTAACAGGTGGAGGCCAGGGATACTGCTAAAGATCCTAAGATGCACAGGGCAGTCCCCACAATGAGGAATTATCTGGCCCCAGCTACAAACAGTGCAGAGGTTGAGAAACCCTGCATTAAACCAATGAGAAGGGCAGAATCTGGCCAACAGTTAAGGATTTGGTCATTGAAACTGAAGTTCAAATCCACAGTTAATTCACAGTTAAAGGAACTAGATTCCTCAACTTTCATTAAGGATGATTCCCATGAGGGTTAAACACATTAATAGGATCTCAATAAATACCTGATGAGTTAATAAAATGTCAGAACTGCTCTAAGGTTCTATGATTTTACTCTTAATTAAAAAAAAAAATCCTGGATATATTCATTGTTAACTCCAAAAGCTTTTTTAATGTACATCAGTTACAGAGCCAGAAATTTTATTTTTTTTATTACCTTTTTTTAAAAAGATTTTATTTATTTATTTGAGAGGGAGCACAAGCAGGGGGAGCGGCAGAGGGAGAGGAAGAAGCAGGTTCCCCAGTGAGCAGGGAGCCCAACATGGGGCTCAATCTCGGGACCCAGGGATCATGACCTGAGCCAAAGGCAGGCGCTTAGCCAACTGAGCCACCCAGGCGCCCCAAGCCAGACATTTTAGAAAAGGAATTTATACATTCGTAGAAACCAGAGGGCTTAGAAATACAGAAGCCTTTCTAACCAAGATTAACCACCATCACGGCCACCATCACCACCATCACCACCATCATGACCATCACCATCATTTCAGTAACCGAGGAACTGAATTAAAACCTTCCTCTTTAAGATTTGCTTCTTCTCTCTTAATGCAAATAGGCTGAGAGAGAGCGCCCAAGTAAGGAGGAGGAGAAAACTTACCATCCGAGGCCGAGGAGGATTCATTCTCCTGGTCATCATCCTCCCAACGCGACTGAAAGTCTCCGGGACGAAGCAGCACTCGGTCTGACTTTGAAGTGGGCAGGACAGACATCGACTGGGAAAGTGGCGTCTTCTGCAAACTCGACTTGGAAAACAGGGTCTTGATCTTCGATTTCTTTTTCTTGTCTTTGGAAGGAGACTCATCATCACTGTCAGCGGAGGGTGTCATGCTGGGCATGATGGCTGACGCAGTATCTGACGTGCTTCCCTTATGCTTCCCCTTGATCTTGTCCTTCAGTTTCCCCAATGGATTGCGGGACTTGTCTTTCATGGAGAGGTCAAACATGCTGGCGGTCATGTTGTTTCTCATAAACTGGATGTCAACCTCAATTTCTCCTCGCTCTTTATCCTTCTTTCCTGGTTTGGATTTCAAAGTGTACCACCTACAAGGAGAAAGGCTGAGAGGTTACCTGGGAATCAAGGAGCCCAAAACAATGGCCACCGTCCCCATTAACCAGCCTCTCTTCTCTGCTACCACCAGCCTCTTACACGAGCACATCCTTGGGCTCTCTTCTTTGGAGTAGAGGGTGAGGTAGGGGAAGGAGGGCAGAGCTTGCAGTTTCGTTTCTGAGAAGACACTCACCAGGCAAAGACAGGAGCTGATTCTGTACTTAATGTACAGTCACTTAAAATCTTGATTCCATAGCTATTTCTAACAATACAATAAATCAAAATATTCCACCCAATCATTTCCTGTGACTGGTATTTTCCGTCAACAGGGTAAAAATGCAAAGCTCCTACACAAACAGTTAAGAAGGCAGAATGCAAATTCACATACACACATCTCAGGAAAAAAAGCAAGAGTCTGTAGAACAGTCCCTGCCAGGGAATAATAGAAAATATAAGACAGAGTGGGGAGGGTATGTGCTATGGTGAGCGCTGTGAATTGTGCAAGACTGTTGAATCACAGATCTGTACTTCTGAAACAAATAATGCAATATATGTTAAGAAAAAAAAAAAGAAGAAGAAGAAGAAGATAGCAGGAGGGGAGGAATGAAGGGGGGTAAGTCGGAGGGGGAGACGAACCATTAGAGACGATGGACTCTGAAAAACAGACTGAGGGTTCTAGAGGGGAGGGGGGTGAGGGGATGGGTTAGCCTGGATGGGGGGCACATTCTGCGTGGAGCACTGGGTGTTATGCACAAACAATGAATCATGGAACACTACATCAAAAACTAATGATGTAATGTATGGTGATTAACATAACAATAAAAAATTATTTAAAAAAAAAGAAAATATAAGACAGAGTAAATATACGTTTTCTTTCTTTTTGTTTTTGTTTTCAAAAAGAACGAAATATGCCAGTCACAAAATAACATTGTGGAACACCTGGGGGGCTCAGTTGGTGAAGCGTCTGCCTTTGGCTCTCAGGTCATGATCCCAGGGTCCTGGGATAGAGTCCCACATGGGGCTCCCTGCTCGGTGGGGAGCCTGCTTCTCCCTCTGCCTGCCGCTCCCCTGCTTGTGCACTCTCTCTCTCCGACAAATAAATAAATAAAATCTTTAAAAACAAATGTCATTGTATGATTCTACTTATATGAGGTACCTACAGCAGACTAATTCATAGAGTAGGAATGGCAGTTGCCAGGGGCCGGGGGCAAAAGTGAATGGAGAATTAGTATTTAATGGGCATGGTTTCAGCTGGAGAGAGAAAAAAGTTCTGGCCAAGGATGGTGGTGACGGCGGCACAACAATGTGAATGTACTTAACACCACAGAACTATACCCTAAAAAAATGGGGAAAATGGTAAATTTTGTGATGTATATTTTACCACCCTAAAAAAAAAAAATGGAAATTGAAAGGAGGCATTCTTTCCTAACTTAATAATCTGAAAAAGGAAAATTTCAAACATTATTCAAGTATTTCAACTGGTCATTTGCAAACTACCTCAAGGTATGGCAAATATTCTATCAGTCCAACTCTCCCGAAAGACGACCATCAGAAAAAGGAAATCTCCCGTGGGCATTTTCCATCTGGTGAACTGCAAGAATGTGAGCCGGATTAGTAGCATGACCACTATAGAGCAGAAAAGTCTGACTACATGGTCCACTGACAGCCATCCCCAGGGTTACCGTCACAGACTGAGAAACCACATTTGGATGTTCTGTGTAGTGACCTACTTAACAGCTGAGGGCCGGGGAAGTTAAGGAAATGATAGGTTTCCTCAAATGAGCACAGTTTCCCCTTTCACCCTCAGCTGGTCTTGCTCACAGGGCAGATCGCTGCCCCACTATCTCAGCTTATTGTACACTAAAAGGAAAGGGGCAGAGGAAGCAGATACCTAACACTTAAACAGCGCCTACAGCATACCTGGCACTGTGCACATCCTTATCTAAGTCTCGTAAGAATGGTATGGAATGGACATTATACCCATTTTACAAAGACACTGAGGCGCACAAGGCAGGTGATTTGTCCAAGGTCTTGCAACTGGCAAAGGGCATAGGCAGGATTCTGAGTCAGTTCTGCATTTCTCCAAAGCTCCTATTCTTTCTCTTACACCAAACTTCCCACTTCGCACCCTCTCCTAACTCACCTCCCCTTTGCAAGACACGAGAGGAGGGCTCAAATTTAAATTCTTTCCGAGGCAAGTTTAAGCTTCTCATGTAAAAGTCCTATCATAAGAAAAAAAGAACTGTTCTCAGAAGAAAGGGGGAAAACCTGCCATACCCAGTCACCCCTCATAAATCATAAGATTACATGTAAAGTCCAGTATGCAAAGCCATCGAGAAGAACTTAGACTGGATTTCAAAAATACAGCCAACATCGGAGAAAATTATGTGAGCTATGATTCTGGACCTTTAGGGGGAAATCTTTTATGGTTTTTAAAAACCACAGCCCACAGCTGGGGGGGGACACGGTGGAGATGCAAGGTGTTTACACACCATCTCACCCCTGCCAGTCTGGTGTTTTTCCAGTATATCTTCCAAGACCTAGCCTGGAAACATTTGCATATTTGTCATTTAGACGTCTAGAAGATTTTTTGTATTTTTCTCTTCGGACAGTCACATGGCTCAACGGTAGCCTGGGTGATGAAGGGTGGTTAGCTTTTGTAAATACCCATTGCAGGCACCTGGAAAGGGGAAGTTGCTGAAAGCTGACTGCAGAGCTCAGATGACCACACCAGCCACAAGCAGTTTCACCTCTCTACCCGGGGGAGGCCCGTGGGTCAGGCCGCCTCCCCAAGCTCTTCCATGCAACTCAGTCCCGTCCCGCAGCCTCCCAAGGGATGCAGAGATGACCTTCAAAGATGCAGAGACCTTCAAAGCAGGCTGTCGACAGTTCCTGGGACCAGCCCGCCTCTCCAAAAGTATCAGCGCCAGTCTGTTTGTTCTGAGTGACGCTACAACCAACTCTAGAATTCTCCCTGGGGGACCTATTATTACCCGATGCACAGGTTCGGTCCCCTGGCATTAAAGTGGGATTTGTTTGGGGAACCTCTAAAACCACTAGGAGGTATGAACAGACGCTTCATCAACTGTTCCTATCATTTATTTTCACAGGCAAACCTAAAACCAAACACCAGGTAGCCAAGAGCGGGCACAGGGCTATTTAAGGATGGGAAGAGCAGCCTGAATCACAGGTAAGCATCCCATGCAAATGTTCAGAATTTTTAAAAATCCGTGGATTTATTAAAGCTGGAAAAGAAGACAGGAATTGTTTCTTCTCACAGTATTACCCTCATCATTAAAAATTCAAACCGTTTAAGCAAGGGTTCTTGCACACGCATAACTCAAAAATAAATGAAAGCCATGATTCATGAATGTCTCACCCTAAGAAATCCCAAACCAGACACGTTTGTAGGTTTCAACATTCAAACATCAATTCGATTTTAAGTGTTTCTATCCATTTGTTTTTGTTTTGTTTTGTTTTTTTAGCTCATTTAATTCCATCACCTCACGGAAGTAGTTCATAAATAATGAAGTCCCAGCAGGGCCACACAGCCTCTGATGCAGAATGGGCGTGTTCCAGCATTGCCTTTCATGGAGGCCCAGAAAGCTTGAATTATCTCAGAAATCAGGGCCGGGTTCATTTTCCTAGTCCAAAGGGCAGAGTACAGAAAGAAAGCCATCATCCCAAGGTAGTGAGTTTGTTTTTAAGCCCATATTCTGGAAAAATCCTGCAACCGATCAAGAAAAATCAAGCAATCCCTTCCACAAATAATTATTTTAACTTATAATTAAAAACCCAGTTCTTCAAAAATCAAAAGGACCTCTGAATACATAGAAAGTGACAGAAGACTCACATAAACTGTATTTTAAAGTAATAACAGGCATAAGGTAAAACTTCAAATCATACAAAACAGTACAAAATGAAAACTTTAATCTTCCTACCTCCCTATGCTGCTCAGTCAAGTGATGGTCCTGGGCATATATACACAAAAATGCCTATTATCCAAATAGGCTGCCCTGCTGTTTTGGAGTTTTTTGGGTTTGGGGTTTTGTTTTTGTTTTTTAGGTTTGGTGTTTTTTTTTGTCAAACACAAGACAAGGCAACGGCTAAAAATATAGAAAAATTCATTTGTCTTCTATTGTCTGGATCTGCGCTGTCAAATCTCCTGGGGTTTAAACAGTCATTTTGAGAAGAGCTAAAATTACCCAACCATGCCCAATTCTCCAGGCCAGTCTGCTTTGGAGCGCACCGTTTCTTACTATGCAGCTCAAATACATGGAAAGCTGATCACAGGGGGCCTTCCATCGGAATGTGGCAGGGTGAGGGCAGTGTGGTTCCTGCTCTTGGGAAATGAAAAGTCTCACAGCAATGCAGACTTTCAGGATTACACTTGTAAAGGACTGGCTGGTATGTCTCAAAAATAATCTTTCTGCAGCTGAAACAAACATGTTTTTCCTTTAAAACATTCCAGAGGCAGACAGGTACAGGGAAACAATGCCTTCAAAGATTCAGTTCAAACATTTTTACGTAGCCGGCACTGGAAATACAAAACGAACGGGCCAGATTCTGCCCTAAAAAGCTTATCCTCCAGTGGGAGAAAGAGACCAGGCTCACCAAACATCACCGTGTTACATTAGGATCACTGCTGCCTTTTCTTTCTGACTTGGAAGCATGAGAAAATAATTAGACACAGGAAGAAGTGCCTACTAAAGGGTACAATTTTATCCCAAATAAGGGCTCTCACACACAAATAAGGTCCTCGGCAAAATTAAATCCCAAGGGGCTACACGAACCACCTACGTAGGGGCTCCAGCAAAATGAATACTGCATACTTGTATTAGACACCAGAGGCTCCAGGAAAGGGAGGGGAAGAAAGACCACTAGCTCTCCAAGTGACTTCAACATTTTCATGTGTGTTAATTTCAAGAGCTCTGTGTCTGTGGGTCCAGTCGGGACCCCCGGGTCCATGGTGGACTGCCTATTTCCCTCCTCC